TGATTTGCTCGCAACCTTCATCCTACCGCGCCTGGATTTTCTGCTGCGGGGAGCCAGTGTGGAGAAGCGTCCCCTCACGGCCGCGGATCTCGCGATCCGAAGATTCGCGAAGTCCTGGCTGAATCTCCCCCAGCGTGCCAGCGCGGAGGGGGTCTACATGCCCCCGCGATGGGGGGGGATGTGGACTCCTTCCGTTGGCTGACCTGGCGGACGTCCTGTCGGTGGCACACGCCTTCCGTATGCTTACGGCTGGCGATGCCACCGTCAGGCGTCTCGCCTGGGAATCACTGACGGGGGTGGTTCAGCGCAGGACCGGCCACGCCCCTGATTGCGAGACGATCGCCGCCTTCCTTTCTGGCTCGCAGGAAGGAAGGCTGAGGGGCGGGGGGGAGGAATCCCTCTGGTCGAGGGCGCGGAATGCCGCGCGAAGGCTGTCCGGGCGGTTGTCTCTGCGGTGGCGGTGGGTGCCGGAGACCGAGGAGATGATCGTCGAGTGCCGAGGACCCAGAGGTGCCGCGGTTAAGATCCCACCTGGAGCGCGTAACCAGGTGGTGAATCGGTTGCGCTCAGCTGTAGCCGAGCACTACGCGGAGCGATTGCTCAATAAACCCGACCAAGGTAAGGTCTTCGAGGTGTCGTCGCGAATGCCAGTGAGCAATCACTTCGTTCGCGGCGGCAGCTTCACCCGCTTCGCCGACTGGCGCTTTATACATCGAGCGCGTCTCGATGTCCTTCCCCTCAACGGCGCGCGGCGTTGGGGGGACGGCGATAAGCGCTGTCGGCGATGCGGGGAGGTATCGGAGACCTTACCACATGTGCTCGGTCATTGCGGCGTCCATGCTGCCGCGATACAGCTGAGGCACAATGCCGTATTGCACCGCCTCTGGAAGGCTTGCCGTCTGCCTGGCGACAAACGGGTCAACCAGCGGATTGAGGGCATCGACGGGGAACTTGGCGAGCTACGACCTGATCTCGTGGTCAGGCACGAGCTCTCCAAGAGTGTCGTCATATGCGACGTCACGGTGCCCTTCGAAAACCGCTGGATGTCTTTCGAGGAAGCCAGGGGGAGGAAAATCGCCAAG